CCTAAACTAAACAAGAAATTGATACAAAAAAAAAATTATATTAACAAGCTGCCCCGCAAGAGCGACAGCGCTCCAACATCTCGCATCACGCGATAACTATAAGGATACATTATATATGACTGACGGCAGGTGTTCTGAATGCTAACTCACTGGCAAAACGAATTGACGAAGCACGCTCCCATCACCACGAGCGTTCGCTGCTCAGAGCATGCGATATTAATCTAGGATACTACTACACAGATCTTAAATCTTATGATATCTATAAGGCTTTGCATATAACACGTAGACAGTATAATAAAAGATATCAGCTGTGTACACTTTATATGACTCGCTATATTAACATCGTTTATCTAATGGATATGAGTCGAGCGGCAGGGAGCGTAGTGGTGGTGGTGGGGGAAGAGATGGGGAGGCGGGGGCCGGTGTGGGGTTCCTAATAGCAAAAAGCAGTTGGCCTGTGAGATGTCGGCGTGCAAGTGTCATCAATAATCAATAGATGGCTATCACCCTTCGTGCTGTGACACCTTCACTCCATTTGAGAATTGGCTGAAATTCCAAGTATATCAGGCAGAATTTATTTCGTTCAGCTGTGAGTTAAACACATTTTTCTGCATTAGCAAGGTTGCAGGCAATAATGATATAGAAGATAGTGCGCAGTTCACCCCCATGGCATGGAATGGCTTGCCCACATGTTTTTGCCTACCGCACGTGAGCATTCAAGGGTTCATTACAGTGTGCTAATATACAGGGTGAACTCAGCTTAGGGTGCGTAATACACTAGCTTAGAAAATAATATGATTTAAGGAGCATAAAAACCTTGTTCAAACAAACATTTGCCTTTGCAATTGAACTGTGCAACTGTAGCCTCACATCCAGCAACTACAAAAAGCAGTTTTAGTCCTTTGTTAACGAGTAACAAATCCACATGTTTAAACCTCTCATTAGAGGGTCAAAAGGTTATCGCCGACACTTACTCTTCGGCATGTCAGCAGAAAGTAGCATTTCAAATCGGTCCTTTCAATTAAAGCCATAATAAATGCTAGGTCACCGCTGAAGACAAAAAAGTCTTTTCAATTGCTTCGCGTCAGATCATGTCCTCAGGAAAATGTTCTAAAAATCTGCACTGTGCCCCACATTTACCTTTGACCTGTGAGCCTCCAATTTCTACAGCAGTGATGGCTTTTCCTACCATGAATGCTATTTAACCAGCCGACTATCACGAGCCTATGTCGAGCGCGTGTTAGATTTGTGCCGCAATGTACTGGGCCATTTTTCTCCCTATAAACCTCTTAAGTTAAGGAGGGAATGTTTCCCTTCTTTTACACCTCTTAGACTCTTTGGAAACTTTGGCCGCCGCAGCTTCGAGCATCAACTCGTTCGATTACCCCCCCACGTCGCCGATATCGTGACAGTAATGTCGAGCGGATTAAGATTGTGCGCCAACTGTTGACGACGGAAACGCACAAGAACGCACGGGCACGCCACGACAGAAGAGACGCACGCAGCGGAAGCATCCATGAAGGACAGCCATGCGAGTCTCTACCAAGACTGGCATCTGAAATAATTCAGATAGCTAAAAAGATAAAACAGCATTGATAGTTTCCAAGTTGTTTCTCATAGCAATTTATAAACTTTTATAGCAGAGAATTGTAATAACTTCACACATACTGATTCAGAATGAGTTTTACATTAATGCTTAATTACATGCAAGACAATTAATCCTGGCTAAGGCAGTGCTTAGTTTTATTGCCGATCAGGATCATGATTAACCATGTACACAAATTAATTGATATCGCAGCAGGTGTAAAAATAATCTGGCATTATATTGGCACTAATAATAATTATCTTACTTGATGCCACATGTTCAGTTGTGTTTGATAGTCCACCAGAAAGCAGTGAATCCAACAATTTCGTCTTTATTGTTCAGTAAAGTTTACTGCAGAAAATTAAGCCCTTTTCTCTGAAATTAACATCGCAAATCGCACATGCACTCTATCTATGTTCGGCTATCACTAAATAAGTTTAATTACAAAGAAAAACATCTATCTTGGTATATAAACTGCAGAATACCAAGATCAAAACAGTTTCTAAATTTAACACAAAAGAGGTGACATTGGATCACGTATTTAGCACATGGTTACATTTTTAACTGGTCCATGCAAAAAAAATGCAAAATCAGTGCGAGATTTCTCTAGTAGTTCTAGAACTAAACTTTAGCAATTGACCCAGCAGTTGTGGTATCGGGTGGTAGCAAGGTGACAACTAAGAACAAGCGAAGCTGGCAGTATACAGAGATGTATGGTCCATTTTGGTGGCAATTAACATTTACTACCAAAGAGAACTAGCTGCTTCATTGAAAAACACAATGTAGTTTTAATGGCATAAAATGATAAATCTCTCAATAAAAATCCTTTGTTTGACAATAAAAACTAGTGAGTGCAATTAATTAGCAATTATGACTATTCGTACATGAGATTTGTGATATCAACACGCCAAACAGCTCTTTCGTTGAGTGTTTGGCACAAGGTGGGATATTCCAGCTGAATCCAGCCGACTCCTGTACGGCCGTGCCAGAAGAACGCCGCAAGCTCGTTATTGTCTCCCACTCATGCACATATGATCGATCCTTTTCCTCCACAACATAGCATGCCATAAATAACTCCCAGTGTGGTAGCACTGAGTAATATATTCAAGGATCAAGACAAAGCCATATAATCATATTCTTCTCTACAATTTGAAATTGTTCATGTAAGGATGTATAACTAGAATGGGCGAAATAAATAGTTTGCTAAAGCATTTATGAAAAATAACACATGTATGTGGCCATCAATGAATTGTGCTATAAACTTGTAATACAATTATGCATATACGTTCCTGAATGTATTTCGTACTATCGCTGGTGATCTCACACCCTCGAGGTAACTTGAATCAGACTCAGACTTAATATAATAAGAATATAAATAAATAATATATTACAATTACATAATATATACTTTAAATTTATTTTTTCTACAACAATTAATAGCTGTAGCTGAAAACTACCACCCCAAACTGTTTGCGCTTGTTGTGATTGTACTGGTTTCCCACACATATCAGCTCCAAGAAAAAATACGGCAGATAATTTTTGGGATCGGAAATATGAAGTATTTACTCCATTACGGTATTTTCAATGTATGAGTACCGGGTAGTTTGCCATAGAGGTATTCCGCCAATATATCGGTAGGCTCGTCATTTTTCCTACCAAGTACCATGAGTATTGAACGTATTTGTGCTTTCTACGATATTACGATGTCCAACTCTGCTTGTGTGTGTGTGTTTGAAGCATACACATACGCATACGTTGAAGAAATACTACAGTAATTGTACTCCAAGTTTGTACATTCATGCGTACCGGGGCAAATGCTAGCGTTTCTGTACTCCATGTTTTGTACATGTATGTGTAAATGAGTGTTTTTAATGCGTATTTTATTTTTACGCAAATATGCATGCTATCTTGAACACTGAAGACACACAGAGAGAGAGATATTGAGGCCCAACGATATGAGCTGTCCACATTTGCACATATGTCGCACATTTGCAAAAATCCATGAACCGATATTGATTATTGTGTTGTAAATTGCATGCTATGACTCGAGTCTCGACTCAAGTATGAATAAATTTTCAATGTACGAATACTACGATTTAATAACGTGTAATATTTCGTGTAATACTATTAATAGTAATACTAATAGTGATTAGTGTGTGATAAAGTGACTACAGACTAGGCCTACCGACGGCGACACTACGTGAAACAGTGTTATAGAAACAGTCTCTCAACCTTCGTTATACTAGTCCCTTAGACTTTTGAAGACTATTAATTATTTATGAATATTATAACATATATTTATGATATCACTATTAGATAAGCCTTATCTGTTATCATAACATAAGCCAGGTACTCCAAACCTGTACAAAATACTGTGTTTAGACAGTTGACCAGGAGTTGGTCATCCATTGAAACCAGACCAAAAATTGTACTAACACGAATCAAGAAATTGGATAACTTCATAAAACTGACCTAAAACGTTGATATTCTTCATTATAAAATTGCACTGTTTATTCCATGGCTGGACATATTAACATTAGAAGTGCACTTACAAACACGGCAAAAATTGGGCACCACATACAGCACTACTAATCCAGGGATAATCAACCGGCATCATCGTCCCCAGTAAAACTGTACAGACTCTAGGTTGCACTACACTCTGAATAAAAGCGTGGCCAAATATCAAACATCAGAATCATATACGCACTGATGCGACAACCACGTCGTGAAATTAAAGTTGATTTCGGCTGGCGACAAAACGCAGCGTCCCAATGAGCGACAGATCACAGGGTGATGAAACACACGTGTGACACAGAAATCAAGACAAACAACAGAACAGAAAACACGTTGCTAGGAATTTCCTGTAGACAATTTATTAACAAATTTTTGTCAGCACGCTCGCTCTATTAAAGGTTACTCCTACTACGTCGACACGACAATGTAAAACGATTTAGTGAAGTGTCAGTTCTTGCAGTAAAAATGGCCGATTTTCGTTCAACTGGCGCAGAAGTGCACCAGACACGACTAACCTATCACAAATTCAATGATCAGTAACCCCTTACAATAACAGTAGTAATCCTAAGGTGGCAGGTAGCAGACATCGTAATTCGCTCCTTGTACTGCTAATCGGTATGTGCAATCGGTGATGAGACAAATGCGGGCGTGGTAAAGTTGTGAGAACAAAACGCAACCGTTTTGTCGTCCCAACAACATAATCTCAACATTTCTGTGCACGAGAAAGAAATCTTCACTGTTACAGGGAAATGTTGCACGTGCTCGTGGCACGCAGAGCGCGAGCACTGCCATTTCATCATGTTGCTCGTGGGTACAGGATGTCAAGTACTGCCAGCTTGTCCTGTCCTGCCAACATATCCTGCCCTGCCAGCATGTCCTGTTCTGCCAGCTTGTCCGGCCCTGCCAGCTTGTCATACTAACAAGTACAGCTGTGACATAAGCTCGGCAGCTTGTGGCCGTCACTGAGAGGGTAGCCCACTCGATGACATATTTGCAAGTGTTGTGACAGCAGTGACAAAACGCAGCAGCATCAAGGCATATATTTGCGTGACGACGGCAATTTTCATGTGCCAATCGCTGCCACAATCAAGTTAAGAAAAGTGTCCGTTACCGTCAGTTAAATCTTCGGGACTGTGGTGCCACCTTGCGTCAATATTCTAAACGCATGTCATGTTCATAGCAACCAAACCGGAGCCCCAAGCTTTCACAGTATACCGTACTATAATGACCTAAACAGGTGTAACATGAAATAATGGATTCTTATTCACTTTAACAACTTTCTTGCAACAATAATATTAAAATTATTAACAACATCATCTGTAAAGATACCAATCAACAAAACATGACTTTGAGATGAGACCCAAGTAATAATGAAACCCACGATCAGGGTTTGTGGCCTTGGTTTGACCTTGTCTTGATTAATGCCATTTGGACATAAACGTGCTAAAACAGCACCAAGCCAAATGGCACACAATTACCCCAGTCCACAATTTATACCCCTTGAAAACCATTTACCTTTCATACCAGATTTTGCTCGAAAACCAAGTCTGTTGTCAGATAAGGAGAATACTTAAATATACAAGCATTAGGAGCTATTAAATTCTTTCCACTAGAATAAAATGACCACAAAAGGAGAAAAAATATTAAAAATTCTTCGTCTGTTCTCCTGTGTGTAAAATGAACGAGGATCATCGAGCAGCAGCATTTGCAGAGGGAATCCTGGGAAATAATTCATCAAGCTTCTCTCAGTTGAAAACCTGCTATAAGTAACTATCCTTCCTAACTGAACGTTGAAACCTAAAACATCTTGTGCTGATTCTGTTGATTAACGACCTTGACCTTGAAAAACGAACTAGACTATATTTCGCGACCTATCTCCGCCAATATTAACACGCAATAACTCAATGTTCACCTATATATATATATATAATAATATAGCATATGTTCTCATTAGGAACCGGCCACCGGCCGAATTGACCGTCTACTCTGCTGTTTCGGCCGGTTACAATTGGCTCAAGTATATTTTAAAAAAAGAAGAAAGGTTTAGTTTGCTCTAATTATTCTCCAAAGTGAGTGTTTTATGAGTTACTACTAATAAATCAGTTGAGTATATTTGTGTGCATGTTATGTGCACAAGAAGCATTGTTTTGTTTTTGAGTAACGCTATTTACGTACTTAATTGTCTAACTCTTATAATTACGAAATCGTCATAATTTGGAAACTTTTGATCAACTCTGAATGTACCAGGAGAAACCAAATTGGAAAAAAGGACCATACTGTAATCCAAATGCGTCTGTTTACTGGCACTGCAGCTCAGAATACACCAGATTGCAGCTCAGAGCATCTAAGTTTTAAAAAACAATTTTGGGGGGTGCCGCACTCCCCCACGGCCTGTTGCAAAAGCATTTCGGCCTGTTACTATAAAAGATAATGAAAACCTTGCTAGAGTAGAGGCTAGAGCTAGGGCCGGCCGCGCCGGCCAGTTTTGAGTTCCATGAAAACACCCAATTCACTGAACCTTTGGCTTTGCATAACAGCCTATCGCCAACCGTTCGCTTCTAAGACGGATTCTATATCCAAGAGTATGTACGTAGATTTATAATGCTAAACCATAATACTTAGTTAACATACTTGCTTCCTAAAAAAAAATATTTTTAAACATTATTTCGACACAACACCGGCAAAGCGTCGCGTGGCAACAATATGCGCGCCACCTGGTGTAGGTATATATTGGCCAAAGATCGTATAACTACACATATATACTTGCTGTATAATATAGCAATACAAGTAAATCTAACGCAATGTATAATAGTTCCCGTGGCCAGATTAACACATATATATTATATATATATACAAACCTGTACAAAATACTGTGTTTAGACAGTTGACCAGGAGTTGGTCATCCATTGAAACGCAGACCAAAAATTTTAGCTAACACGAATCAAGAAATTGATAACTTCATAAAACTGACACTAAAACGTTGAATATTCTTCATTAAAATTGCACTGTTATTCCATGGCTGGACATATTAACATTAGAAGTGCACTACAAACACGGCAAAAATTGGGCACTACATACAGTCACTACTAATCCAGATAATCAACCGCATCAATCGTCCCAGTAAAACTGTACAGACTCTAGGTTGCACTACACTCTGAATAAAAGCGTGCCAAATATCAAACATCAGAATCATATACGCACTGATGCACACCCACGTCGTGAAATTAAAGTTGATTTCGCTGGCGAAAACGCAGCGTCCAAATGAGCGACATAAAATAAAAATTAAAGAAT